CTCCTTCAGGAATGAGATCTCTCCTCGCTCTGGCTTGATTCGTGTCAGGTGCAGATTATGATTTCCTTTTGAACATTTAGTTATTTGGGTGTCACATACAAGTGTTTCCATTATGATTTTTAAAATGTACTGAAGTGAATATTTCTCCCCATAGAGAGTTTACAATGGCTGAGATCGAGCACTTTGTAGATCCGAATGAGAAGGTTCATTCCAAGTTCTCCAATGTTGCTGATCTGGAGATCATGCTTTACTCGTCCAAAGCACAGACTAGTGGGCAGTCTGCTCAGATTATGAGGCTGGGTGATGCAGTGGAGCAGGTCAGAGAAGATCTCATTTATGATGTATTGATTATAATTAACACCTCGGTTGTAGTAACAGACTTTTGTATTGTGTAGGGCATCATCAACAACTCTGTCTTGGGCTACTTCATTGGAAGGATCTACCTTTATTTGATCAAAGTTGGTGTGGCGAAGGACAAGCTTCGTTTCCGTCAGCACATGGACAATGAGATGGCCCACTATGCCTGTGACTGCTGGGACGCTGAGACCAAAACCTCTTATGTACGTTCAGTGTTTGCTTGAGGACCTTCTAATTTCACCTGTCTCATAGATTAGGTGTTCATTTGTGTGTTTCTTCATACTGTTTTTTTAGGGGTGGATTGAGATCGTGGGGTGTGCTGATCGCTCATGTTATGATCTTTTGTGCCACGCACGGGCCACCAAAGTCCCTCTGGTTGCTGAGAAACCGTTAAAGACCGTGACTCCATGAGGCAGATCAGGGCTGAGGTAAAGCAGTTATGTGTCTTCAATTCATTCACAGAGGCAGCGTGTTGACTATTTTACTGAGATATATATGTTTATTTACAGGTTAGTGAATTGCCCGAAATCGTTCGTGACCTGGCCAATGGTGCAATCACATGGGCAGAAGTGGAAAGCAAGTACCCGATCTTTGAAGGCCAGGAGACGAGCAAAAAGGAAACTGTGGAAGAGTAGACTGTCTGTTTGTCTATCTCATCTGCCTTTTCACTGGAGGCAGTCAACGGACATTTTTACATTTGCATTCATAGGATCAAAATTATGGCAATTATAATATACAAGCAATCAATGTACACCAGATGTTCACACAACTGGAACCACTGTAATAAAGTACTCCTTTAAAATTCAAGGAAGCTCTGCAAGGACCTAAGGATGACTAATTAGGTTACTGTACTAGTAAAAGGATTTCACCAGTCCTGTCCATGGGTTGATAAATGAAGATATAAATCACATGTATAGTCAAATAAATCAAACCAGCACTTTCTGGACCTATAACAGTGTGTTGAGTCCTTTTTATTTATTTTTTATGATTGTGTTCAGTATGATGGCCACATGGGGGCGTAACACCTGCCAGCTGATTTTCCATGACTTCAGCATTTTTGACATTCTTGTCCAAAGCCGCTTTTCCACCGAAATTACCTGGAACAATTTTTCCCACGAACTTTTTTTTCCCCCAGACCTGTCGCTGTCTGCGTTTCCATCGCGGTCTAAAGTACCGATTAGAATAGGCAAATAGTCTGGTGACGTAGGTCTGCGCGCGGTTCGGACTTGCACCCTCGGTAGTTCGGACTTTGCGAGTTCGACTCGGGAGTGTGAACTCCCGCGGACGGGACGACGCAAGTCCGGTAATTCTGCAAACAGCAGCGTTCTAGATAATGTCAATCAGCTCGCCTTGGCTACTGCAATTTTCCTCACTGTATATTTACAATAAGACGAAATATGATATCAAACACCACTGCCACTAAAGAGACATCAGAGCCAGCGGCAAATGTCAGAAGGACTAGCCGAGTCCAGACTGCTCTGGTCGGGAAACATGAGCACTGAGCGCCCGCTGATCGCGTGGAGCTGATCGTCTCCGAAATCGGCGAAACACATTTTTAAATAAGCGGTCTTTATAACGTTTTATATAAGTTTTAAACTACATTCTCGCCTGAAATACTTTTAAAACTAAATTTCATGACACAATAACAGTAATACTTTGAAAATGATCAGAATAAATGGGGGTTGAAATCACAATGCTGCGTGAACTCAACCAATCAACATGTTTAGCACCCAAGTCCCGCCCCGGAAAGTTTTTGAAAACCTTTGAAAAAGTACTACCTCGCGAGCAGGGACTTTCTGAGGGGCAATTTTTTACCCGGAACTTTCCTGTGGTGGAAACACACCGAGTACCAGCCCAAAGTCCCTAGTTCCTGGGTAAAGTTCCTGCGGTGGAAACTGGGCTCAAGACAATATTCAAAGCCTCCCCAATTCAGACTATTATAGGCTAGTTTTTAAATGTTTTTATTAACAGAAACCGGGAGCATTGATATATTAATTAACTAATTATTTTTGTGCATTAAGTTTCAAGAACTATGTTCTTAATTAAAAAAAAAAAATAGTGTGTGGGGTATTTAATTTATTAGTATTTTAATAGAAATAAATTTTGATTTCGATATTGATTTGCAAGGGATTTTGTTAGCACTTTATATTAAAGTTTGACTATTTTTTAATATTTAAAAAAAAAAAATTGAATACACTGAAAAACAATTTGGTTTGGAAACAATTTTAAATTGCTAGTAAATTCATTACAAATTGGAAAGTAGCACAATGAATTAAACTTGAAATTTTGACGTAGAAAGGCTTAAATAGTATTTTCTTGTAAAATGCACTCTAATAATCTTTGTTTTATTTACAACTTCAATTTTGTATTTACAACAAATAATTTTTTACAGTGTACTTTTTTGTCATCTTGAGGCCGCCTTTGAAGATCGCTAACACCCCCTAGTGTGCCCCGGCCCTCTTTTTGAGAACCACTATTTTAACAGTTAATGATTTTAATGGTTCTCAGGTCAAAGCTTGTTGATGAGGATTGACCTAGAGGGGCTGATCTATATTCAGACATGCTAATAATATTTAAGCCCGGAATATTAAAGGGGTCATATGATGCGATTTCAATTTTTCCTTTCTCTTTGGAGTGTTACAAGCTTTTGGTGCATAAAGAAGATCTGTAAAGTTGCAAAGACTAAAGTCTCAAATCCAAAGAGATATTCTTTATAAAAGTTAAGAGTCAACCACGCCTACCTAAAACGGCTCGTTCT